AGCAAACTATGGAACCCGGTGTTTTGGGGGTTAGAGGGCTTCAAGGAAAAAGTAAATGACCACTGCTTGGATTTCCTGGATAGGAATTCTTGTTCAGGTATACAGTGAACCAGAGGGTCTCTGAAGTCCCTTCAAACTCGGAAAAGAGGGCGCTGCTTACAGAGACTGATGTAGCTATACAGGGAGCTTGGCAGTGGCAGCAAACTCCATACTTTAGCTTCACATCTTCTCCAGTCATCTACCCAGGCCATCTCCTCATCTTCTTGCCTCCCTACTTGGACCAGCATTTTCTGTCCTGGACCTGAGCCATGGCTCTCCGCACCGAGATCCTTCTGAATTTATGCCCTTAGTGCCTACAAAAGCAAATTATTTTGGGTGCTCTCCCTCTAGGGCTCAACTTAATTGATTAATGGCTTAATTTGGGCAACCTGGCCCACATAGCTCACTATATATACTGGCTGGCCCTAGAAGCCGGACCATATTTCAGCTTCACATCCTATCAGCCATCACTCAGGGCCACCTCACCATGTGTCTGCAACATCTGACCGGCTCTTTCTCGCCAGGAATAGCACCTTCCACATCGAACCTGAAACGTGGGCACCCCTTACTAAAGTTTTCCTGAATCTGTGGGGCAACTATGTGGTGCAGTAGACACAGCAGTGGACCTAGAGTCAAGAAGACCTGAGTTCAAATATGGCTTCAGATACTTACTAGCTGTGTGACCCTGTTTGCCTCAGTCTCCTCATCTGTAGCATGGATATAATAACAGAACCTACCTCCCAGGGTTGTTATGGGGACTAAATGAGATAATGATTGTGAAGTGCTTAGTACAGTACCTGGTACATAGTAAGCACTATACAAATGTTAGCTATTATTCTTATATAATAACAATAATAACTATTATTATTTTCTGTGCCATAAGGTTCTGGGGGAGTTAATCCATTGGAGCTCCTGCCATAGATACCCTCTCCTTCCTCCCCCTCCATATTTCCTCAACAAATCTCCACTCCCTGGTCACCTCTTCTTTATATGTATTGTTTTCTTTTCCTATTAGAATATAAGCTGGTTGAATAGAGACCCCCCCACAACCCTCCTCCCTTTCTCTCCTTCCTTCTCTTTCTATCTCTCCTTCTCCTCTCCCTCTCCCTCTTTTTTCCTTTGCCCCCCTCTCCCTCCCACTTCCTTTTCTCTCCTTCCTTCCTTCTCTCTCTTTTTTTTCACTTTCCCTCTTTCCTCCTACCTCCTCTCCCTAAAAGGGTAGCCTGATGCTGTAAGAATAAACTAGAATGCTAAAGCCAAAAACTTCAAAAACTTAAGGTGGTGCTGAATACTAAGGACAACCAAAAAGATTTCTTCTAGGTATTTTGGGGGCAATGATGAAATTAAAAAAGGCATCAGGGTTCAAGTGGATGGGATGGTAAAGGATAATAGTGAGAAAGCAGAACAATTCAATTCTTATTTTCCTTCTGTTTTCTCTTCCAAGATAAATGATCTTTGGATTGGCAAGAGAAATGGTTAGCAGGGATGGAACCCAACATGAATGAGTTAGCATGCAGTTTTCCTCAATGAATTCAAGGCACCAGGCCCAGACATACAGCCTAGGATACCGAAGAAGCTGGCAGATGGGATTGTTAGGCTGTGCTTGGTGATCTTTGAGACAGATATGGTGAATGGGAGAGGAGTTACATGACTGGAGAAGGGCCAATTATCCCTATTTTTGAAAAAGAGAGAAATGAAGAGTCTACAATTTGTAGTTTAGTGAGCCTGACTTTTATTCCTGGAAAACTTCTAGAATACTTGAAAAAAAAAACAACTAAGAATACATTATTAAAGGAATGGTTTGCAAGCATTTAAAAAAGGAAGCACTATTTATTATAAATTACCTTGGATTCACCATGAACAGGTCATGCTAGGCTAACTCCATTTCCATGTTTGAAAGAGTAAAAAGCCTATTTGATCAGGGGAATTACATAGACATAGTAAATATAGATGTTAGCAAAAACATGTGCCCTTGGAGCAACTAGCTAGGTGCTACGGTGGACAGACCACTGGTTCTGGAGTCAGGAGCACCTGAGTTCAAATCTGGCCTCACACACTTACTAGCTGTGTGACCCTGGGCAAGTGACTTACCCCAGATAGCTACCAAAACAAACAAAAAAAAAAGTGGCCTAAATTCTCATGGTGTCCTTTCAGACAAGATGGAGATCAGGAGACCTGGGTTCTACTGATAGCATAGTGTATTATGAAAGAATGAGCACTGCATCTGTAATCCAAAGATTTGGTTCAAATTCCTATTCTGCTATTTACCACCTGTATGACCTTAGGTAAATCCTAACCTCCCTGGACCTCGATTCTCTCGTTAGTCAAATGAAGGTGTTAGAATTTTAGCTCTAATATTCCATGATAATAGATTAATTTTCAAACAGATCAAGCTTTCTATGAGCAGGCAGATTTTGATATTTTGGTTGGCTATAATATAGATTTTGAAATCATTCAAGTTTTTAACTTTTCTCTTTATAGTTATTAGGATACTTGCAGCAACTGAATGGACTGAGCCAGAAAACCTTTCAACTCATACTAGATATAAAGATGTTTAAAAATTTTTAAAAAGTATTTATTAGGTACCTACTATGTGCTACTAACTATACTAAGTGCTTTGCAAATATTATCTCATTAAGCCTCACAACAACCATGGGAGATAGATGCTATTATTATCCTCATTTTACAATTGAGGAAACTGAGGCAGGCAGAGGTTGAGTGACTTGCCCAGGGTTATATAGCTAGGAAGTAGCTGAGGCTAAATTTGAATTCAAGCCTTTCTAACTATAGGCCCAGTGCTCGTCTAGTGTACTATCTGGCTACCTTTAAATTACTGTGTTTATTTATTACATGATAATTCCTAAAAATCAACTTTTTGGTATTTGTACATATGCAAAGTTAAGTGATAATTGACACAATTATCTGGATACTTGAAGACTTCAACTATCTAGACACTTGGGTGGAATCTACCTTTAACCTGAATAAAATTTACCTTTGCCTCAATTATCTAGATAATTTAGGAGAAATTTATTTTATCTAATTTATTTTAAATTAAGCACATTTTGGTTGCTATAATATTTTGAGTCCTGGATTATTTCATTTAGAAATATAGACTCAGGTCAAGTGACTTGCCTAGGGTCATTCCAAGTAGCAATTATTAGAGACCAGTACGCTACACTGCTACAACTATTTTATGAATATGTCCTTAATAAATATTTCAGGCCTACTTATATTTACTCTGATTTATAACAGTTCTATTATTAAGAACAGGCTGGGGTTACAAAGCTAAAGCCAAAATAATCCCTGTCCTTGAGAAGCCTCCATTCTAGCTGGGAAAGATACCATATACAGAGATAAGATTGCTTTTTTTTTTTAAACAATCCCCCTTTTTATTATTTATTTCCTTTGAGTCTTATTTTATATTACAGATCTCCCCTGGCTTTGAACCCTCCCTTGTAACAAAGAAAAAGTTAAGTAAAACTGACCATCAGCACAGCCAGGTTTGACCGTATATGCAACATTCTGCACCCATAGTCCCCTCACCTATGATAAAAAACCTTTTAAAAGGTTTTCTAGCCTTTTAAAATGTTATACTTACTGACTTTTTTGGGGGATCCCTTTCATTTCTATATGCATTTCCTTACCCACACAAACAACCTTTGTAACAAAGATTTAAAAAGAAAAAAGCTCATCAAAACCAAGACAGTGCATCAACTTATCCACTGAAATACAAGCCAACACATATACACTGGTTTCCCATCAACCTAATTAGTTATTCTTATCATAAAAATAACATGGGGGGATTGGTTGATGGTGATAGAGAGGAATTAAAAAAAAGAAAAGAGGGTAATTGAAACATGAAAAAATACAGAGAGGGCACAAGGAAGTTCAGAAGGGGTTGTAGACAAGTGAGGCAATTTTATTTTTACCATATTCAATTTGATACACACTTGAAAACTCTAAGTAACTAAAGTTCATAGTTTTAAGTACAATCCTCTTTTTTTGTTCCTTGTTTGTATGCTGAAATGTTCCTATTTGTTGATGTTTGTGTTTGTTACAAAAATAAAATAAAATAAATCTAGGTAAATACAATAGAATCCATCTCAAAAATCAATACTCCTGTAACCCTCTACAAAATCGGAATGATTTACAATAGGGTTATTAATATTTCTGCACGTAACATTTCTTTTAAAAATGTCAGCAAAGGGCTCACCCCTTTGACCCTGTCTAATAGTCTTTCTGCCTAAAATACTTAGAAACTCAGTTCGTTAAGAAACAGTACATAGAAATTCCATTGTTGTGGAACAAGCAGCTCAGTCTCTGCAGCACGTCCTGAATTTGGAACTCTCTTTAATGTCTGAATTCCTAGTTTCTCTCTAATTTGCAGAGATACTTTGATAGAAAATGAGATAATCTCTTCAAAGTGTCTGAACTCCCTGGAATGGCTTCTGTATGGGGTTTGTACATTGTTATGAGTTTCATTCATCCCCGGGGTTGGGGTGGGGTAGTAGTAGTGGTGGTGGAGAAAGTTCCCTCCCCTTTTACTCTTTGGGAACACATCACAGTGAATTTGAGGCCAAGAGTGACACAGCACAGTTTGTAAGATCTATGCTTCACTGGTAGCCTCTCAATTTGAACATTGTGTCTTTAATAGAGGGGGAAAGAGGGGGAAACAATCTCTTTTGCAATTTCATTAGCTTCACATCTTTGATGAACCAGGTGGTATTCATCAATGACTTGCACCAGCATTTAGACCAAAGGATTTACTGTATTTCTCAAAATCAATATAGGCCTTTCCCTAATATTATTTAACGCTCATGATTAAGCACTAGATATAAATAATCTGAGCAGTGGAGATGACTAAAGACTCTACAGAGGTCCAGTGAAGGGCAGATCCTAAACAGAAAAATGAAAGGAACTTTTTTTTTTTAGTTTAGAGAAAAGAAAGCTCAATTAATGTCTTCACGTACATGAAAGCTTTTATGAGGGGGTTACTGGTTAATTGTCCTTCGTGACAGTGGAGCTCCAAATAAGAAGAAATGAACTTAAATTATAGCATGGGGAAGTTTTGTTTGATTCACAAAAAGGATTGAACTGTCGGTGTGGAGAACACTGGAACGGACAGAACTACCTTGGACAGTTTAAAGGCAGAGAGCTGTACCACTTTGTCTCTAGGTCCCAACTGACTCAGTGATTTTGAATTTAGAAAGCTTAGGTCCAGCTTACAAACCCTATCTCAGAATCCTTTTGCATTAGTAAAGGAGGCTTTAAAATCTTGTAAGAGATGTCCTTAAGCCAAAAATGAATTTGGTGAGAATAAATTTCAAGAGAAAGCAGATGGAATAGAGGTAAAATATATTACTGAGTACTTGATTCTTAGCCATGGAAAGAAGAAAATAGCTCAGTTTCACTTTGCTAATTAACTCAATGCACAGTTAAAATATCTGTCAGGTCCAAAATTATAGACCTCCATTAACAACCCCCCCCTTCATTTCTCTGCTAAATTAAAATTTTTAGATGATGAAATTAATATTTACAATAACATTGCTTTTAAGGGGAGACAAAACATACTGAAAACCAATTTATGTCTTGTGAATGTAGAAATTTTTTTTTAGAGCTCAAGTACTTTCAAATGACAATGGACAGTGGATTTGTTGTTTCGCTTGCTTTTCAGATGTGATTGTGAGCTCTATAATAAACTGCTTCAAAGGCTTCCAAGTTTCACTGACGCTTCCTAAGTAGTTACCTTTCCTGAAGAGTTATACAATAGGGCATTGTTATGTAAGAAACACTCAATAGTGCCTCCTACCTAATAGAGAAAGAAGTCAATAATTTTCTTCTGATACTGCTTCTACCTGAGAGGTTGAAGCTAAGGTCTATATGTCTATCTCTCTATTATACGGCCACATAATTTTTTTTTTAAAAATCACAAATATTATTTAGCATTTACCAAGCCTTAAAGATGTGTTAGTTTTGTTGGCTTCCCTGTAATAGCCAGCATATTCAATTATTAAAGCTGTTTAAAAATCCTGCTCCATTCAGTTTTCATGTTCTCAGACTGGAGAATAGTGTAGACAGCTATCATAGAGCCATTCAGCTTCATGTTCTGATTTTCATTAGAATACCAAGAGGAGTTGTATCTGAAATTCTCATGCTGGGTGAGAGCGTTGGGGAATTTACCTGTAATTTTGCAGTGGCTTTTGATTGCAAAACTTAAAAACCAAACCAGTATCAATAGGTATTTCTTAACAAAAATAAACACAGAACTCAGGTCCCACATGACCAGCCTTCCTTCAAAGAGCAAATAAAAAAAAAAAAGCGAGGGGGATGGGAGGTTGGAAGGAAAAGGCAAGTCTTTTCGGCCACCCTGCCGGCAGCAATGGTGCCCGAGAACTGCATCCAACGGGATAGTCCCACTTCCCCGGGGAGAAACCCAGCCCTTCACCTTTCAGTCCTCCAGTGTGCAGCCTTCTCTAGGGGGTAGGGAAGGGGGGGGGGGTGGTTCCTGCTCCAGCTCGTGCTTGCGGCCAGCTGCAAAAACAGCTGCAGCCGATGCTGCCTCAGGCTCCCAGCCTCGGGGACAGATTATAGCGGAGGGAATAGGGAACGAGGAGGCTGGTAGGGGTTGACAGTTATCCTTTCCTTTTCCCAGTCGTCCCTGGAGGGCTGCAGGTTGGGGACCAGTGTATGCGCGGCGGGGGCGGCCGTAGATGCCGTTGTCCCGCGGCCGGCTGGGCGCAGAGACGCCCGTGGGTGGATTGGCGCCTCCTCCCACCCCACATCCCCCGAGGTTGCCGGGGTAGGGGATGAGGAGCAGGGTGCATCCCCAACTCCTCCGCAGAATCGCTGCTCTCCTCCCTCTCCTCCTCTCTCCGCAGAGCTGCCGCTCCAGCCTACGCCACAGCCCAGCCGCCGCTGTCGCGGTTTCTCGGGCTTCCCCTCTTCCTCCCTAGATACCCGACGTGCTCGTTCACTGCAACTTTGGTCCAGGAGCGTCGGTGGGTTTGGCTTATTCCTGCACGGTGGGGAGAGAGAGAGAGACAGGAGGGAAGGGAGAGGTTATCTATGTCTATGAGTCATTTGTATCCAGAGTGAGAGGGAAACGCGATCAACAGCAGCAGCGGCGACCGGAGGAGGAGGAGGAGGAGGACGAGGACGAGGACGAGGAGGAGGAGGAGGGTGCGTTGCAGTGCGCTGCGTGGGTGCTGCCGTTGGTGGCCACACGGGTGAAAGGAGCGGGACGCGCACGCACACACACAGAAACACTCACACACACACACTCACGCACCCTCCGTCCCTCCGCCTCCTTCCGCTTCTCATCCCGCATGCCGTGGAGCTGCAGTCGGCAGAAGGAGCGAGCCCCGGGCTCTAGTCGCCACCGCTGCTGTCGTCTGCTTCGACCTTCCAGCCCGGAGCAGTAGCAGCCGCCGCCGCCCCCCTCGGGACGCCAGCTCGCCGGTCAGACTGCACGCCAGCTCGCCGGTCAGACTGCCCGCCAGCCCGGAGGCGGTAAGGGGATGTCACACCGGCTCTCCGGAGCCCCCAGCCGCCGTCGCCGCCGCCAGCCCCGCCGTAGGAGCACCCTCAGCCACCGCCTCCTCCTAGTCGTCACCTAGTCCAGGAGCAGCGAAAATGAACCCCCAGTGCGCCCGCTGTGGGAAAGTCGTGTATCCCACGGAAAAAGTCAACTGCTTGGATAAGGTGAGCGAGGGGTGACGAGAGCGCGAGCCAGGGAGCCGGCGAGCAGCCAAGGGGAGAGCCAGCCCCCTCCCCACGGGCGCCTCGGCAGCCGCTGCACCTGCTAGAAGTTTGGCTTTGCAGAAGGAAGGGAAGCGGCATGTGTCTGTGTACATACATATATGTACATACAGGAGGTTGTTTGGGTGGTCAGCGCAGAGAAGAAATCCCCCCCGGGAAGGTCAGATGTGGAGTGTTTACATTTTCAATTGGGGTTGGGGGTTCCGAGGGGGAGAGAGGGCTGCGGATCCTGGCATCGCTGTTGTTAGGCAGTGCTCTTCTGTCCTGCCCGAGGAGGGGTCGAGGATGGGATGGGGAGAGAGCGAGAATCTTCCAGGGGGCCGGCAGACTTGCTCCATTAAGTGAGCCCCCTCCCCCCACCTCTCTAAGACCCCAGCAGCCCCTCTTCCCACCTTTCTAGCTGCTTCGGAATGTGGTGGCTCCGCCGGGGGATCACCGGGAGGTAGAGAAGCAAATAGTTATTAATATGCCAGCGGGCAGTCACTGCCGCATTGCTAAGAGGGGGGAAAGCAACACCCAGCTGTTCGCCTCCCCCGCCCCAGCTCCGGACCTCGAGCTTTCCAGAGAAGCCCGAGGCGTTGGCGCTGTTCCCGGGCCCCACCACCTTTGACGTTCGCTTAGGGCGGGCGCTCAGCTCTCTTGGCTGAAACTCTGGCTTCTCCTGCGTTACCTACCTCTCCTCCTGCCTCCCTCTGGAGGGAGTTCAATGGAATAGGTGAAAGCCCTGCTGTCACTACTGCCCCACAGCATTCCGGGGTTGAAAGAGGCCCCATGGATGGCTCCTCCGAAGTAACTGTGATTGCTACTTTAAGTCACTCAGAAAGCGACCGGCAGGGGCAAGGAAGGAGGGGAATTTAGACAGATGCTCTGGTTCCCGGGATGCCTTGTTAAAACAAAACCTTTTCATGATCCAGGGTGGGATTGGTGAAAGTCGTAGAAAAGAAGTGATTCTAACCGTATCTCACTGTATTATTGTTGGTTTTTTTTTAATTGGCAGACTTTGTTGTTTGTTATTTATTGATGCTCATAAGATTTTGAGCTGGAAGGGGCCTTAGTGTAGAGATGAGCTAGTCCAATTTCCCTCATTTTGCAAGTGAGGAAATTGAGGTCCACAGAAGCTTGTCCAAGGGGACATTGGTAGTAAAGAGTAGAGGCAGGATTGTACCCAGGTCTTCTGACTCTAGGTTCATTGCCCTTTCCAGTGCCACTAGGCCTCGAAGGGTACATACGCTTAGATCGTTCCTATGAAGTATCTACTCTTTGAGAGGTTCAAGCTAGGTTTGTTTGTTTTTTTTAAGGCCACCTTCCGGGGCAGGGACTTCTCCATTAATCAGTTTCATAGCTGTCTGTGGGTACAGTAAATAGAAATGCAATAAAATCTACTACAGAACGCTTGTGTTTCTTTCCTAGAGTAATAATAATAATATCAGCTGATATTGTTAAGGCATTTTAAGGTTTTTGAAGAGTTTTACAGGCATCGCATTTGATCTTTAATCTAATATGTGTTGTTATTCCACTTTTTCAGATGAGTACAGTGAGGCTCAGAATATTTAAGTGACCCCAGGGTCAGGCAGCTAGTAAATGTCAGTCAGGATTTGAGCAAAGCACTCCCTTGACTCGAAGACCAGGGCTTTTCCACTATTCTACCATCTCCCTTCCCAGTAGGTATTACTGTACTATTACATGTACTATTGTTCCTCTCCCTAAAAACCTGAAAGTAATGACTTACTTAAAAACCCCTTTAGAGAGCTTAGAAAGCTGTTTGCTTTTTTAACTACAAGTAGACAAGCTAGTCTTTTGTTAAAATTCCTTTTGTGAATACATTCTTAACCTTTTTGTTTGTTTGTTTGTTGAGGAACCCTTTGACTGGTAAAGTTTGTGCACTCCATTTCAGAGTGATGTTGTTATATTCCTGAAATGAAATATATGAGATTACAAAGGCAACCAATTGTATTGAAATGTAGTTATCACAATATTTTTAAAAGTTCATATACCCTACGTTAAGAACCCCAGCTTTAGTGCATTTTCAAATATTAGTAAGAAATTGATTTAACATTTTAAATTCATGTACAGGCCGTGTTGCCAAGTGAATAGAAGATGTGATTTCATATCCCACCTCAGATACTTCCTCCAAGGTCCCTTCCTTATGTCAGCTATGATCTTAAATTCTATATCAAACTTGGAATATAGTGATGGCATAATCATTCAAATTTTTTTTCCCCTCAGTACTGGCATAAAGGATGTTTCCATTGTGAAGTCTGCAAGATGGCATTAAACATGAACAACTATAAAGGATATGAGAAGAAACCCTATTGTAATGCGTAAGTATTATAAATGGCACGTGGGCATCAATGTGAGAGTTCAAACTTCTTACTATGAAGAATTAACTCACTGTCAGCCCAACTGTGGTTTGTAGCTAATTTTCTATTCATAGAAAATGGTTCCTTTGTGGAAGTGCATGGAGTGAAGTTGGTGAGTGAAAGGTAATGGCTATACCTTTGAGTAAGAAATTATTAATATTTTAGGTAGATTTTCTGTTTCAAAATAGTAAGTGGAGCTTGTTTGAAGGCTATGAAAATGATCTTTATACAAATGATGAAAAACCAACTCTTTATCAGATAAAGCTCCGAATAACAGGCCTATGTAGATTCATTTTTCATATTGATTTAGTTAGGTCATCTGGTTTTGCTATCATTTTGCATTGCAACTTGGTTCATGTGAATTTAACTTTGCTTTAGAGACATCAGCTGAACTCTGCTGAAGCAATTAAATATAGTAAAATAGCTGATATGTACATGGTTTAAGGTTTTCAAATCAATCAGCAATCATGTGGGGTGGGTACTAAAAGTATTGGCAACACCATTTGATGGTTGAGGGAACCTGGGCTCCAAGAGGTTAAGTGACTTATTCACATATCAGAGCTAGGCTTGAAGCTCACATCTTCTGATTCCAAGTCCTCTGCTCTTTTCATAATCCCACACTGACTTTAGCCCAAAAAACTCAAGAACTAGGCACGACTAAGGTTGTCTAATAATAACTGACGTTTCAATGTTTGTCTTCCGTTCCAAATTTTCCACCTTCCTTCACCCCTCACCCTACTCATTGAGACAGAAAGAAATGCAATACCCTTATATCTATGAAGTCATGCAAAACGTATTTCCACGTTAGCCAGGTTGTGGGGAGAAAAGGCAAGAAAAACACAGAGAAAAAGTATGCTTCAATCTGTGCTCAGAGTCCATTAGTCTGGAGGCGGATGGCTTTTTTCATCATGAGTCCTTTGGAATTGTCATGGATCGTTGTACTGGTCAGAGTTGCTAAGTCTTTCACAGTTGATTATTGTTTTAATGTTGCTGTGTCCATGTAAATTGTCGTTTTGGTTCTGCTCACTTCATATCAGTTCATATAAGTCTTGCTAGGTTTTTCTGAAACCATTTGTCACTTCTTACAGCATAATAATATTCCATCGCATTCATAACTTGTTTGGCCATTCCTTAATTGATGGGCTGCCTATCATTTTTTTAGTTCTTTCCTGTCACAAAAAAAGTTGCTGTTAAGTATTTGCTACACATATGGATCTTTCTCCTTTTCCTTTGATCTCCTTGGGGTATAGACCTAATTAGCAGGAACCTTGGGTCAAATGGTATGCAAATTTTTAATAGCCATTGGGCATAGTTCCAAATTGTTTTCCCAAAATAACTGACATTTTAATAGACCTGCAAACCATCAGAAGATAGGTACTATGTTAATATCACCTTCTTAAATGAGGAAATGGGTTCAGAGAGGTCAAGGCACTTACCCATAAGTCATACAGGTATTAAGTAGCAGAGGTTAGATTTGAACCCAGGACCTTTGAATCCATGTCCAGCCCTGTAGCCAATAAAGCCATACTGCCTCTAGAGTTGGTGTGATAAGGTCAGTTTTGCCACTGGGGCTCCTTATTGGGTCTGATGGTAATCCATCAGCGAGATCCCAGGGAAGCAAGGAATCTTGAAGGCTTGAATTGGGTCAAGAAGTAGCAGAAAGAGTTAAGCCTAGCTGTGAAAAAGTGGCTTGATAACAGATCATGACATTCGTTGGATCACTTCTCGCTCCCTTCTCGTGATCCATAGAACTATTTATTAAATGATGGAGCTCTGGAACTCTTTAAAAATAGAAAAGCAGTGGTTTTTTTTTTGTTGTTTTTTTGTTTTGTTGTATCTGACTCTTTGTGACCCCATGGACCATACTGCTAATGGTTATTATTATTATAATCATTATTTTGCAAAGGTACTGGAATGGCTTGCCATTTCCTTCTCACATGGATTAAAGTAAACAGAGGTTAACTGAATTGCCCATGGTCAAACAGTTAGGAAGTGTCTGAATAGCCTCTTGGAGTAGCCTTACCTTAAGCAAAAATTAATATACTTGAATTAGTAAGCAAGTTCGTCTTGGTCTACAGATATAAGAATTGCCCTTTGCTGCAAATGTGCCACATAACACAGTGCTAGGTTCACAGGCACAGAGTTTTTTTTTTTATTATTATTTATGTCTCCCTCATTAATTACTATTGTGCTTTGTACATAGTGAAGGCTCTGAACAAGTGCTTATTAATGGTGACCTAGTAGGTACTTCGTGAACACTAAAAGCAATCCTGTGAACCCTAAAAGCAATATAATGTAGCTTTGAATCAGTATAATTAGGATGAGGTTCTTCATGATTATAAATGATTAAGAGTTATCCATAAATCTCTGTGGGATTTTTTTCAAACTGTGTAAGAAAATTGAGCAATTGGTTTAAAAAATTCAAACAAAGAAGCCCCTCACCTTAATTATCCATCAAAACAGAGAACAAGTATTGTGGGAGAATCTCTTGACCAAGAGGAATGGGACCTCTTGGGAGTGGCATACTAGTCAGCTGGGGTTCAAGGACTGTGGGCCAAAGATAGGATTCCAAAATAAAAGCAAAGAAATTGATTAGTATGCTGAGGAAGACTTCAGCTTCATAGGGTGCATACTTGGTTTTTATGGTTTTTCAGGATGGCTTAGAGTACATAGTTAATCAGCAGGATTCTTTGCCTACTTGGAATAGATAAGTAAGGCATTTCACAGGAGAAGGAAGGGTAAATAAAGGGGAGGGAATCGTTCAAAGGAAAAAAGGGGGTTTTCTGGAGGAAAACTTGTCATATAGCTGACACATTTTGTTATTGGGAGGAGAAAACATTCCCTGTCCTTGAACAGGGGATGAGGGGAGGTGACCACTATTTTTTTTAAACAATTGTTAAAGTCTGTTTAGACAAAACTGCAGATGTCTCATGCCCAGGGACAACAAATAGTTGTCACAACAGCCAATGAGACCATCTTTTTTACCATGTCCTTGCAAAATTTGTTTTATTTTATTTCTTCTTGTTTTCCACTACTGAGCCACCAGGTGGCTAGGAGATTTCTACATTGTTAGCCCATCAAGGTGTCGTGAAATGATTGTGGTTTCTGTTCCCTGGCCCCCTCCCCCCACATAGCTTGGATAAATGAAATCTACAGCTGATCTCGAGCTCCACCTTAATCAATGTCAAAGGGATCATAGATTTAGAGCTGGAAGGAGTCTTAGAGGCCTTGTACTGCCAAAGGAACAGATTTGAGTTACATATTCTTTCATTTCCTCTCTATGGGAATGGAAAAAAACCCCTATAAATTGGGTAATTAGCCTGCGGGTAATAAAAAGTAACCTTTATTTCCTGCAACAATTTTACTTTGAGTGTTGAGATTTTCAGACTAGATGGGTTTAATCTTTCTGTAAA